TCTCATCCAAATTTGGACTTTAATAATATCAGAAAGGAGTCAGATTAGACATCAGGAAGAGCTTTCTAAACTCGAATGTCTGCCAAGCTAGAGCCTTCTTTTATTATTTCTAAGAGAGCTAGGTACCGTTGGAAGTCACTTCGCCTGGACTGTAACCAAATAATAATGAAACATAATAATTCTACAAAGGCTTAGTATATGATCTACATAATTGTATAATTTGATAAAAAGCTCAAATTAGGACTCTCTATATTTGTGAAAGTCCAGTTCCCACAGCCTCTGTCTGGGGCTAAGACAGACTCAATAAAACTATTTTTGTGCATGTGAATATGCACTTCAACAAACTAAATACTGTATAATCTGACTAAACTGTAGGGTTCTAAAATGTTAACTCTGCTTACCTCTGCATGGGAGGATTGCCAGTGATTTTATGTGTCTGTCTCTTTCTTTGTTGAGTTTTCTCATTGAGAATATAATATTTTGAAATTATATTAAATATTTATGAAATTAAGAAAAAGTTCTTTTAAAAAGATCATCAAAAATATGTACAGAATAAGCCTATATCAGTTATCTATTGGTGTATAACAAACAATGCCAAAACCTAGTGGCCTAAAAAAACAAATTATCTCACATTTTTGTTGGCCCCGTCTTTGGAAGCAGTTTGGTTAAGGGGTCCTTGCTAGGGTCTTTTTTGTTTTGAGACAGAGTCTCACTCTGTCACCCAGGGTGGAGTACAGTGGCACGATCTCGGCTCACTGCAACCTCTGCCTCTGGGTTCAGGTGATTCTCCTGTCTCAGCCTCCCAAGTAGCTGGGACTACAGGCATATGCCACCACACCCAGCTAATTTTTGTATTTTCAATAGAGATGGGTATCACCATGTTGGCCAGGCTAATCTTGAACTCCTGAGCTGACCTGCCCGCCTCAGCCTCTCGAAGTGCTGGGATTACAGGCATAAGCCACCACACCTGGCTATTGCTAAGGTCTTTTATGAGGTTGCAGTTAGGATGCTGGCAGGGGCTGCAGTCATATGAAAACTTGGTTGGGGCTGGAGGATCCCCTTTTAGTATATCTCACTCGCTTGGTATTGGCAAGAGGCTTTACTTCCTCACCATGTGAGCCTCGCTCCATAGGTGGTTTGAATTTCCCCATGACATAGCTGTTGGTTTCTCCTAGAGTGGTCTGAATGAGAACAAGGCAGAATTCACAATGACTTTCATGACTTAGTAACAGAATGTACACACATCACTTCTGTCATATGCTATTCATTAGAAGCAAGTCAGTAAGTCATACCTGCACTCAAAGGAAAGGGAATTAAGCTCCACTTCTTGAAGAGAGGATGTCAGAGAATTTGTGGATATATTTTAAGACCACCACGGAGCCTATCATCTACAAAAAGAAAAAAAGAACAACACATACATACAGAGACACATATAATATTAGGCTGGTGCAAAATACTAGGTTTTGTCATTACTGTAATGGCAAAAACTGCAATTATTTTGTACCAACCTGATATATTGAAAAAAATCTTTAAAGTAGATTTTAAAGATTTAATCACTTTAAATCTTTAAAGTGATTACTCGGAGTGGAAATAACTGAACATTTAAAATTTATCCTTTTCATTTTATTTCTACTTTTTAAAGAACAAAGATTTTTCTTTTGTAACTAAACAGAAAGGAAAGGTTTTGACAGAGATTTGTGGTCAATGTAGTGGTGAAAATAATTGTATTAATCAATAGATCAACTTGGTCAGATTCGATATCTTTAGAATATTTATTTTTTCTGATTCATGAATAAGGTGTATCTCTCAATTTATTTAGGCCTTCTGTAATGTACCCTGATTGTTATCTTTTTTTTGAAGAGACTGTGTACATTTTTCTCTTTGGTTGGATTTATTTCTTAGTATTAGATATTCTCTGACACTATTATATACTTTTTAATTACAATATCTAGTTGTTTGCTGTTGCTGTAGAGAAATTAATATATTTTTAGTCTAATCTTATGCTAATAAGCTCTCTATATTCTCTATTTCTAATTTTTTTCTCTTAGATTATTTTGGATTTTTCTATACAAACAATTTTATCATGTAAAAATGATGACAGTTTTAATTTTAGCTTTCCAATTCTCATACCTCTGATTTCTCTTTTATTTCTTACTCCTTTAGACTAGGAACTCCAACATCAAGTTAAATAAAAGTCACAAACATTGATTTTTTTCACTTCTGATTAAATAGGAATGCTTCCAAAATTTCCTTGTAATGAAAATATTTTCCTATAGTTTATCACTATCAGGAAGTTGTATTATATTTTTGATTTACAAAGTTTTTTTAAATCAATAATTCAACATTATCAAGTGTTTTTACTGAATATAGTGAAATAATAACATGGTTTTTTCTTACCTGTTAATGTTGGAAATTATATTTATGAACTTTTTTGTTAATTAAGCCATCCTTTCATAGTTGCGCTATATTCAACTTTTTTATGATATTGTTAACTTTTTGTGAACAGATAGGTTCAACTTGCTAATAGTTTGCTGGGAATTTCTGCATCTATTTTTTTGAGTAAAATAGGGTTATAATTTTTGCTTCTCAATGCACTTGTATCAGGATTAAGATTACTAATATTAAAACTGTAACTTCACAGAATTAGAAAAAAATTTAAAAGAGAGAAGCTGGGAAAAGATACGTATAAAACATATAAATGACACAGGGTTGCCACCCCAAATATATAAATTATGCTTACAAATCAATAGAAAAAATTTACAACCAAAACCAAAAAAAAAAAAAGAAATTCACAAAAAGAACAATGGAAATATTTAACTAGTATGTAAAATATCTTCCATCTCAATGTAAATTAGGATAATACAAATTTATACAATAATTATACACCACTTAAAAATCCAGCAGAATAATGAAACTTAAAAAATAGATTAAGTAAATCCTGGTGTTGCAGACAATGTAGAAAAACAAGAATTTCAACTCTGTTGGTAGAAGTGAAATTCATGTTATCAATTTGCAAAGCAATTTAAAAATATTTAATGAAGGCCAGGCACAGTGGCTCACACCTGTAATCTCAACACTTTGGGAGGCTGAGGAGGGTGGATCACCTGAGATCAGGAGTTCAAGACCAGCCTGGCTAACATGGTGAAACCCCATCTCTACTAAAAATACAAAAACTTAGCCGAGCGTGGTGTGGGCACCTATATTCCCAGCTACTCCTGAGGCTGAAGCAAGATAATCACTTGAACCTGGGAGACGGAGGTTGCAGTGACCAGAAGTCACACCATTGCTCTCCAGCCTGGGCAACAAAACTGAAACTCCGTCTGAAAAAGAAAAAAAAAACTAACGAAGATGAAAGTGCGCATGACCTACTATATAACACTTCTACATCTAGAGAAACTGTCACTTTTATGCTCCGTAAGAGTGCAAAATGAGAAGCAACCTTACTATCTTTCAGTAGGGGGAAGGCTGACTTAACTGTTAGATATAATGAAAAAAAAAAAGCGTATCTGCATATATCTACATCATACATGCTGAAAATAAAAATGCCAGTGGAAAAATAACATGTACAATATGGTACCATCTTCGTAAATGTTGAAAACACAAAAGCCAATGTTATATATTGTTTATGGCTATAAATGAACAGATTAAAATACAAAGCATGAATAGCAAAGATAACACTAACTTGATGAACCGATGACTCCAGGGCTGAAGGTCTAGGGAAAGGAATGGAGAAGGTCAAGGGGGTTCCTATTGTGACATTATGTTTACTTTTACAATTTGAAGAAAATATGACAGCATGTTAACATTTGTTAATTTGATGGCAGAGTGTATATAAAGTTTATAAATCTTTCGTTTTCCCACGGTTTTAATTTTTTTTCATAATTATAAGTAAATATGTATGAAACAGAACCTCTTTAATTAGGTACAGTTGGCCTCCACATCCCCAGTTCTGCATCCATGCCTTAAACCAATCCCAGATCAAAAATGTAGTTAGGGCTAGGATGGATGTGTCTATACTGAACACATAGGGACTTTTTTTCTTATTTCCTAGACAATACAGGATAACAACTAGTTAAATGGCATTTACATTGTATTAGGTGTTATAAATAATCTAGAGATGATTTAAAGTATGCTGGAGAATGTGCCTGGGTTACATGTAAATACTATGCCGTTTAGTATCAAGGACCTGAGCATTCCCGGATTTTCGTATCTGCAGGGGTCCCAGAACCAATCCCCCGTGGATATCAAGGGAAGGCAGAATTTGGTAAGTATGATGGCATATCACCGCTCTTACTGACCCTGAGACTGTTGTCTTATGCATTCTGTCTCTGATATTGAATACTCTCTGGACTTGTTGCTTCATCTGTAATGTATAGGTGGTCACTGAAGATTCCTTCTAGCTCAGACACTGTAGGTGCCATCCCTTTTCCAAACCCTTGTACTCCTCTTTCCCTCTTCAAGGTTCATTACCTGAATCCATTAACAATCCACCTTCATTTTCTCTATGGCTCCTTTTTCTAAAAAGTTACCAGAAAGCGTTTGACCAAAGCATGCTCAGTAGTCAAGTTTGCTAAAACCCTAGGAAAGTTTTTTGTTTTGCTATTCATTTTCTTATGAGTCTTTCCATTTCCATTTACAATAAAAGTCCCAAATTTTCACCCGTCGTCTCTGCCATTGAAAAGGCGTAGCGAGGAGGAGATGCTAATAGGGAAGATGTCCCACGGGCCCAAGGGTGCTTCTGCGCTCTTACCTGGGTTTCGGACCCAGCAAAGGCGCAGCTAATTTAGGAACGAGCTGCAACGAGGCGGTCATAACTCTGTGCAATCTAGGCAGGGCAGCGTGGGTGGAACAAGTTGTCCTCTGCAGCTTCGGGGAAGAGTAGCTCTCCCTGTTCTCTGAGGAAGGCGGGGGTGTGGAGGCGGGAGGCGGGGAGACAGGGCAGCCCGGATCAGAAACATCCTGCAGCATCTCCGCATCCGGAGGAAAACTATATTTGGGCGAACTCCGGTGGAAAAGCGCCCCAAGCTGTCACAGCCTAGAGATCTTGGGGCTGCAGCCCTCGCGGCCTGCCGACGGGGCAGAGGGCGCCGGTGGAACTGGCTCCCTGCAGCTCTGCGGCGGCGCGCGGACCTCGGCTGTGTGCGAGGTGGCAGGGGAGACTGGCGGGATGCGAGCCGGAACTCGGCCGCAGCATCTTCTACCTCCTCAGGACAACCGCGCAGCCATGGGCTACCAGAGGCAGGACCCTGTCATCCCACCGCAGGTAAAACTAGCGACTGGGCGTTCTGAAGCCAGTTTTCCGGAAATTTCATTCACCTTGCAACAGGTCAGGTCACCTACCTTCACCAGGGCTCTTGGTTTAGCACCGCGAAAAGTTCTCTGGGAGAAAAAGTTTTGCCTTAATCTGACTTTGTTTTTTTTTTTTTCCTTAGCAGGCAATTTAATTTCACACAATCACATCACCAAATTCCTAACAGATCCTGTACTTAGCAGCTGGGGCAGCTGTAATCTGGAAATTTTAGGATGGAGTTAGCTTACCAAGCTCTGTTGAATTACTAGCCATTATTGTTATTCTTTATTACTGTTATCCTGGCATTATTTTATTTTCATTAGTGACATTACTTATTATTACTAGAAATATCGTGCTAGTATCCTGCATTACATATTTGTTACTTTTCTAATTTTCTGAGCTAGTATTTACTTATAATTGCTATTTTATCTATTAAAATAGAGAGATCTAGATGACAGAGAAACCCTTGTTTCTGAACATGAGTATAAAGAGAAAACCTGTCAGTCTGCTGCTCTTTTTAATGTTGTCAACTCGATTATAGGATCTGGTATAATAGGTAAGTGTATTTTGTTTTGGTTTAAATTTTAAGTGAAAGGGCAAAATTTAAGACTCGCTATGCTGCTAGTGTTCATTAATTATTTTTAAAGAAAAAAAGACTTAAATAAGAAAATTGGTAATTTTCTTCCATAAAAGCCTTCCTTTTTTTCTAGTGTAACTGTATGTGTGCGTGTCTTTTATGCTGAAGATGGGGCTGTAATTCACACTGCTTCCACAGTTAAGAGCATCTTCCACATGTAGTAGATTAAGGTGAAACTGCATATGGGCGGTGGTGAATCTTTTTTCTGTAGGCTGTGTGGTTGATGGTTAATGTTACCTAATGTATTTTTTTCCACTTACTGAAAGGTCCATCATTATTTGAGTCATCTTTCTTTAACCTTATACAAGTATAAAACTTCCAGATATTTGTAAATGTTAGAGGTGAAAAGTTTAATATGAAAACATACCAATCTTACGAAAAATTAAATTCATACATTCTTTACCTGTCTATACAATGTTAAATTTTAAAGTACAAAATTATTACAATATATTAATTTTAAATATCATTTAGTCAACAATGCAAATTTGTTCATTGAAAATGCATATAATTTTCCTAGCAAAGGAGCCATAAAATCAGAATTAAAAGAAATAAATAGCTCAGGTTTTCCCATTGTATTAGAAGCAAGGGAAATTGTCTGAAAAAAGTTAAAAGTGTATTGCATTATAGTAATAAAAGCAGCTATATTTTCAGTGGTTATTATTCTTTTTGGTACCTGAAAACATTCTATCTCAGAAAAGACAAGAAGAAAACAAAATCCTGCAAAATGCAATACTTTTTTGAGAATACAAGGTTTTATAAAGTTGTGACATTTTTGTCTCTGTCATCATCTTCTGAAAATTAAACATTTATCTGGATTGAGCTACTTTTCTTACTCTTGAGTTACTTTTACTTTTCACAAGTTAATATGGTTCCTGATTTTACATTTTTCTATGGATAGTCTTTTTTTTTTTTCTCCAAATGATACATAAAATGGCATTACCCGAGATAAAGTAGAAGGAAACAGGGACAAAGGCTTGTTTACAATTCTACCTCCATGTGCAATGAAGGTATGGGCAGCTGTACTTAGAAGAATTCTAGAGCTAATTCCTGATGTGAACATGCTAAGCTAAGCCATGTCAGAAATGCTAAACAGTACCACTGAATCCTGCTCAGCGGCTTGTTTTCTTTTCTTTAAGGGAAAACTTTTCAGAGAATAAAAATCTTGGCTGCAAATATTTTAACTGTGTTTGTTTTAGATATTTTATTGTCCATAATCTAAAGTTGCCCATTTTCCCCAAAATTACAAGAAATAATTAAACGTACCCTTGTCAGCATTATAAAAAAGACTTTTGCCTTCTCATTTTTCTCTCATTTTTTTCCTACATAGTAGCCCCATTTTGACTCCAGAGTCTGTCTGTCTTAATATTCCATAACCCTTCTGTGCTCCTTATTATCCACTCTGCTTTCTTGGCTAGCAGGTAGGAAAGGATTTGAGGTAATGATTTTCCACATATTTCAGGGCTGTGTCACTCTTACCCTGAAGTAAACGTTATTTGTGTGAACTGGCATTTGTTTTTCATTTGCTGCTTTCTAATTCTTATCCCATCACCTCATAAACTTGTTCTCCTGACTTGTCCCTAAGCTAATAACATTTTATTCTGAAATAAGTATTAATGCCTAACATTTAATGTTAATACTGTCCTATGTGCAACTTACAAGTATGTCATATAAGTTTATAAATTGACTTTACCTATTATATGCAGAAATTGAAGGGGGGAGTTTCTGTATTTTTAGCTTTCTTGTTAATGTGAGGGGTGGGGCATTTTATGTTTTTTCAGGATTGCCTTATTCAATGAAGCAAGCTGGGTTTCCTTTGGGAATATTGCTTTTATTCTGGGTTTCATATGTTACAGGTAAAATACTATATAATTTCTTATATCTGCAACTTCAATTGTGCAATAACTACACACACACACACACATGCTGCCACTGAATTTCCTAGTTAATTAGGAAGTGCATCAAAGAATCCTAAAGAATTTAAGCATTTATGCCTGAGGAGATTTACTTTTCCTACTAATCCTTTAAACAGATTAGAAAAAGTAGAAGAGCATTATATGTTACCAAGCCTAAATCCTTTTCATGTGCCTTTTTCACTTTATGCAGAAAGTAGTAGATGGGGAAGTCATTTTAAAGCTTCATTAAGGCTAAGAGAGGACTGTGCTCTGAAAGTGCAGACAGCAGGACTTCGTGGGCAGGTGCATGTGATGAACAACCTTATTCAGCTGTTGCTTGTAGAGGTAGAACTGAAGTTCTGGTGATCAACCAGCAGGGCTCATCAAGCCTCTCCACCTGGCTTATGCCTGCCCACACTCGCTGCCCGCTACTATCTTTAAATGCAGCAATAAGTTGCTTCTATATCACATCTTCTGTTCTGCTTCCGCTTCTTCATGTAAATAGTTCATTCACACCCACCTTTTGTCACTCTCCCATTTAAATGCAGGGTTTACAACTCATAATCATCTCCTCTTTTTGTTGTCCTTGTCCCCGCCCTGTCATCCCACCATCTCACCTTATGACAAACACAGTGTCTTTCCTCTGTCTTGGGATCACTGTGAAAGAGGTGACAATGATCGAAAACAAGCACCACTCACAGGAGTTGCTGCTGTGGTGGATTAGATGCCCTTTTACCAGCTAGTGAGTGTTGCCCTGAGCCTCAAGGGGGTCTCCTTGCCTCCATGAGGGACCAATGTGCGGTACGGTTGGAGCTCCAGTGCTCCACCACCGCAGTACTTGCTGAGCTCTTTCCCCTGCCCTGTCCTCTAATTCCCCTTCTTCTGGAGTACTTCATCCACAGACCCCTTGCCCGGGAATGTCTGTCTCAGCTCTGCTTCTAGAGATCCTGCCAAGATGCCATCCCTCGTAAAACCTCAGGCTTCCAAGACCTGCCCAACACTCAGCTATTTTTTCTCAGGCTGACAAAGAGACAGTAAAGCATGAAATGGTTTTCAACTTCAAAGCTAGACAGGCATTGAACTCCCTGCCTTCTTCCTACCCCCCACCCTCAAGACCTAAACTGCTTCTAGTTATTACAGCTCTTTATTTATAACGTAAGCACCTATAATTCTGTGCTTATTAAGAGTTGCTGGTGTTTAAAAATTGCAGTCTACTTATTGGGGCATTTATTACACTAAAAAAAAAAAATCTGATTCAAGGATTTGTCCCTGTCATTCTTAAATTTCCTGTTTCCCATCAGCACTGACAAATAATCAATTTCCACCATAATCACCATCGTTTATTTAAATGCATTGTAAACATTTACACACATTGTAAACAGGTAGGCAGAAAAAATTTAAAAATATGCGTCATCCACGAGTTCAGGACTTGAAAAGAATGAACAGTATGCTAAAGCCAATCATATTATACATGAATAAATCATAATGTGAATAACTTTTTCAACTAATGCCATATATAAACCTATAACAATAACTGTGAGAAGTCCTTTGCAAATTCACATGTTGCAAATTTACTTATTAATGAAAATTACCAACTCATAAATTTACTTGCATGATCCAAATTCTTAAATAACTGATAAAGGATGACCACACAAAATTGAAAAAAATATATAGGCTGATTCATTTTTTTTTCTTAATTAGGCTTTTAAGAGCAAAATCTACATGTAGGGTATAATGTTGAATTTTTCTTTAGATTGGAGCTATAATTAATCAGTGGTTTGCCTCTAGAATTATTATTTTGCCTTTTAAGGCCACTAATGAGGTATGTTCAGTAAAACAAGTTTTTCTAAGTTCTGTTTTCATGTTTGTGAAATGCTGGGGAACAAAAAGAATTATGAAAATTTACAACAAATAATTCTAGTTTGCTTTAAGATTTTCAAATTTGTTGATTAATGTAAAATAATTTTTATTGTCTGAGCATACAAAATGATTTAAAAGAAAATTCCTCTGTTAAGTAACATAGATTAATTCATGAAGTTTTTAAAAAGTTGCATATAATATATTTAAAGGGAGATCAAAATATTATAGTAATTAATACTTAAGATATCTAAGACTGTTAAGGGAATGTATTTGTAGCCTGTATTTTATAAGCAGATGAAAGCATTTACATTTATTATTGACTAAATTCTTAACACATTCTTACCTTTAAGTGATCATTTTGAACTTTTATTAAATGCTCAGCGTTCTCATCCCAACCATACCCTTCTTCAACAAGCCTTCATACCATCTTTGAAATTGGCTGCCTCCTCTCTGTGACATAAGTATATAAATTGTATATAGATTACATAAGAATCAATGAGAATCAAGGAGGAGAATCAATGCCAACTCTGTTGCCAGTAACTTCAGACCTTGGCTAAGCCATTGTAACCAACTGAAGTCTCAATTTTCTCCTCCAAAAAAGTAAAACGTGAACATCTACCTCAAAAAGATTTCACATTATGGCTGCATTATTCTCAGCATCTAGCTCACTGATTCTCCTTCTTGGCCAGTGAGCTGCTGCTCAGTTTTCCTGCCTCCAGCATCTGTCTACTTTCTGATCAGTCCTCCATACTGCTGCAGATTATTTTTATAAAACCTCAGGCTGAACTCTGTAAACTCCCCTAATCAAAACATTCTGAGACTCTGTAAGGACAACAACAACAACAACAAAATATTACATGTAAATTCCTTCATAGTTTGGCCATAGTCTGCATTTTTAGTCTCATTCCAATTATTCTAACTGCCCTCTCACTCTGTGACCAACAGTCACATGCAGACATTCTCAGCCATTCCAGAGAATTCTGTTACCCAGGGAGAGAATAAGCTTTCACACCATCTTCCCATTGATAGTCCTCCTGCCTGACATTCCTTTTCTTCTCTACCTGGTGAAACCTTGTTTTTCCTTCAAGGCATTATTCAACTTTTTTGTGAAGCAGTTTCTAATTTTAAGCAAAGGAAGTAGAATTTATTGATATGTCCTTTGTGTTTGCAGGATATTTTAAAATCTATTAATACTTCTTAGGGCTGGGCACGGTGGCTCACCCCTTTAATCCCAGCACTTTGAGAGGCCGAGGCACGTGGAACACTTGAGTTCAGAAATTCGAGACCAGCCTGGCCAATATGGTGAAACCCCGTCTCTACTAAAAATACAAAAATTAACTGGGCGTGGTGGCTCACATCTGTAGTCTCAGCTACTCAGGAAGCTGAGGCGGCTGAGGCAGGAGAATCGCTTGAACCCGGGAGGCAGAGGTTGCAGTGAGCTGAGATTGCGCCACTGCACTCCAGCCTGGGCCACAGAGTGAGACTCAGTCTCAACAATAAATAAATAAATAAATAAATAAATTAATTAATTAATTAATTAAATTATATAAATAAAAATGTATTTATTAGGTCATTTATCACATTAAATTGGAATCCGATGGGTAGACATCTAGCAATCCTACTATATTGATCATTGATTCATTCAACAAATATATACTGATCACCGGTGTGCCAGATATAGCAATGAGAAACATTATCCCTGCCTTTTTGAAGCTCACAATATAGTCAAGCAGAAAAAAAAACAAAACAAAACATAATTATAGTACTTCATAAAAAATACTATAATAAAAATATGTACGTGACAGAGACTGGCATTTAACCTAGCCTCAAAAGAGCAAGAATGTTCTAGGGAGGAGGAGACACTTCCTCTGCGTATTTATAATAATAATAAAAAAAAAAAAGTGAGTTAGCAGAGAAAATGGAAGCAGATGGAAAAGTGGGAATGCAAAATGCAACTGAACAAATGATTTAGTCTGGCCAAAGTGCAGGGTTGGTGTTTGCAAATGGAGAGAGGGGAAGTTGGAGAGATTTGCAAAGGCAGATGGAAAGCCTTTCATGTAATGATAAGCATTACCACTTCCTGAGCTAGATGCTGAGCACAATGCAGCCATAATGTGATATCTTTCTGAGGTAAGTGTTCACGTTTTATATAATGTGAAATCTTTCTGAGGTAGGTGTTCATGTTTTACTTTGTTGGAGGAGAAAATTGAGACTTCGATACGTTAAAATGACTTAGCCAAGGTCTGAAGTTACTGGCAACAGAGTTGAGATTTTAATTAAGTGCATGGATTCTGAGGCCAGACTACTAGGGCCTAAGTCCTGATTCTTCTTTTACTACTTCTGTAGAGATCAATTTACTTAACCTTCATGCCTCACTTTTCTCATCTGTTAAATGGTCATGATAGTAGCACCTACCTCTGGTTGTTGTGAAGATTTATTAGTATTTGTAAAGTATTTGGAAAAAGACCTACCAAACAGAAAAGCATTGTGTAAGCATTTGCTAGTAGTTTATGGTTGTTATCATTATTATCTGACTCCAAATACAATAACTTTTCCCACCGTCACATGCAGCTTGTCAAAAATAAGCAGAAATAGCGTAAGTTCCCACTCAGCTTCTAGAAGACAGTAGGCATTGTGGTGGATATTTAAACACCATAATCCTCACACCACTCTTCAAGGGTACCATATTGCCTTACTTTACAGATGAACTCAAATCTTTCATCCGAGGTCACACAGCTATAAATAATTTTTATCCAAAGGCATTAATGGGTCTCCCTGAAATATTTTAAGCAGAAGACATAATTAGTTTTATAGTAATCTATGGCCAGATCCACCTGGTGGAGGGAGAATGCTCAGAATGTCTTGGTAGGGAGGAGAAATCAAAGGTATCTTGGTTGGGGGCCAGATTGGTGGGTAAAAGAACTATTAGTGGGTTATTTCAGTACTCCAGACAAGAAATTATGAAGTCCAAAGCGCTACCATAAGGCAAGTCAAGATTACAGATTAGGGGCTACATTTGAATATTTCTGATGCAATCGTTAATAGACTTAGTAACCACAGGAATATAGAACGTAATAAAATAAGTTAATGATTAATAAGATAAGTCTGGGGAAATTCTCAAGTTTCTGTTGATACTAATTACAGATTGGAGAAATATGGATAGAGAATCAAATTCCAGAACCAATAACCAAATTAGAATTTATATATTTTAAAAGTAAGATGTCTATGAGATCTTCAAGGCAAAATATTTATTAGGCAGCTAGCTGTAGAAGTCTGAAGTTTTGAAGGGGGGCTGACCTGGAAACACAAATTTAGAGGTTATTAACATCTGAATGAAAATTGCAACCACAGCATAAGTGAGATCACACTAGTACATCTTGAAGGGTGAGAAAAAAGGCCGGGCGCAGTGACTTACACCTGTAATCCTAGCACTTTGGGAGGCCTGGGCGAGTGGATTACCTGAGGTCAGGAGTTTGAGACCAGCCTGGCCAACGTGGCAAAACTCCGTCTCTGCTAAAAATACAAAAATTAGCCAGGCATGGTGGTGGGCACCTGCAATCCCAGCTGGTCAGGAGGCTGAGGCAGGAGAATTGTTTGAACCCGGGAGGCGGAGGTTGCAGTGAGCCAGGATGGCGCCACTGCACTTCAGTCTGGGTAACAGAGCAAGACTCCATCTCAGAAAAATAAAAAAGTGAGAAAAAAAAAAGTCCAAGAATCCAGGGCTTGAGCAGAGTGAAAGAAACTGGTGAAAAATTGAGTCTAAATGACCAAAAAAGTAGGAAGAAAACCACAAGAAAGAGATGTCAGAGGCCAAAGGAGAATGGTTGAGAAAATAAGGAATGATCAACAACAACAAAAAACAGTGTTCCGAAAGAGCAAATAAGAGTGAGGTCTAGGAGGTATCAATTGGATTTATCAACTTGGAGATCACTGATGCTCTTGTTGAAAGAAGTTTCACTGACCTGGGAGGGAATCAAGGGGAAATCATATTATAATGACTTGCATTTTTATGCATTTCCATATTACTTAATGGATAAAAATGAGAAAGAGAAAAAAGAGAACAAGTATCTCACATTGTGTGTAGCTGTGTACCAAATACAACTGCAGTGTCTTTCTGTAAAAAACATTGAGTTAAATGAATACAGTGAGGGAGACTGTCTTTTCATTATATAATTTCTGTATATATCTATCTTTAACTTCAATTGAAGTTTCTTAAAATGTAAATTTTTTTTTTTTTTTTTTTTTTTTTTGAGACAGAGTCTCACTCTGTTGCCAGGCTGGAGTGAAGTGGCAGGATCTCAGCTCACTGCAGCTTTTGCCTCCTGGATTCGAGCGATTCTCCTGCCTCAGCCTCCCAAGTAGCTGGGACTACAAGTGTGCGCCACCACACCTGCCTAATTTTTGTATTTTTAGTAGAGACGGGGTTTCACCATGTTGGCTAGGATGGCCTTGATCTCCTGACCTCGAGATCCACCCCTTGGCCTCCCAAAGTGCTGGGATTACAGGTGTGAGCCACTGTGCCAGCCACAAATGTAAATTTCAACAGCAAAATTTCATAGAGTGTCTCTTTCTTAACCATAATAACTATAAAATAAAGTTACTAATTTTATTATATCATAAAACAAATGCTCTGACTCTCCTAAATGTATTATTTTCTTAATGCTACCACACCTTTAATTCTCAGTCTTCACACATTGAATACCTATGAAATATTTGATTACCTACATACCTAAATTGAGCCTCAACCTGATGATATTTGCTGCACTGGTTACATCAGGAAAGTAAAATGGAACACTGGCAGTTAGACTTGAGTCTGTTTTCTTTTCTGCCCTATTCTTTGCATGGGTATGTTAAGTATATATTTGCATCTTGATTGAAAAATATGTAACTGGAAACATTACTGTTTCATAAAAGGTAATGTTTTATGAAAAGAAAGCCTGGCTCTGCTAGTACTGTAACATTAAATTAAATGCTTCTTTAAAATTTCCCTTTTTCTCAATGGTAATTAAGTTAAAGCATGAAAAATATTTGTATTATGTGTAATCTGACATTTATTTAATTGATATTCTTGCCATAGACTTTTCCCTCGTTTTATTGATAAAAGGAGGGGCCCTCTCCGGAACAGACACCTACCAGTCTTTGGTCAATAAAACCTTCGGCTTTCCAGGGTATATCCTTCTCTCTGTTCTTCAGTTTTTGTATCCTTTTATAGGTAAGTTGATTGTGAAGATAAATATTGCAATTATGTGCATAAGCATATGGTCATTTCTGAATAAAATACTTTTAATAGTCTTTAAAGAATATCATTATAGCAGTTGAAATCTTTTCCAAATTAAATATTTACTTCTTTAACCATTTTCTTCCTTACTTTCTGGTCCTTTTGATTTATTTTCTATTTCTTTTAAATAAAATGAGGGTTATTTTCACTGAGTTAATGTTTGGGCTTTCTGTACTTGGTAAAAAATTGAATGATCTAGAACAAAGAGCGAATAAGAGAAATAACACATTTCTTATAAGGCTTAATACTTAAAAAAAAATGCTAAGGATTTGTGGAAGCCATGTACTAGGCCAATGTGCTATTTAAAGTTTATACCATAATGGTGAGAATGTCACCTAACACTTCTTAAAAAATGAAATGTTAATATTCGCCAATGGCCAAATTGACTTCATTTTTAAAAATCAGTACTATGGAAGGTATTGTTCAAACCACTAGTTCCATATGTCTCCACAGAAAGCTAAGAATATATTTCCCAAAAAAGTCTTTTTCAATGGAGGGGATATTTTAGTGCCTTCAAAGTTTTCTATTATTATTCCTCACTTTAGGCAGTACATGTGTTCCTGAAAAGAGGTTTGGAAACTGAACTTTAACAACAAAATAAATTGCGTTTTTAATAACTAGCAGAACTTGCTACCTAAAGGTATTCTGAGATGAATCAACCTGTAAAGAGAAAATCCTTTTTTAATACAAATTGATACTCTGCCATAGATCTGTTGTCCAGTTATCTTTAAAGTTGTCCAAATGGGTAATCATAATATACATTTGAAAGGAGTAGGGTAATGCCAATGTTTGGGAAGTAATAAGTGATTGCTTTCAAAATATTTAGGATGAAATATGTGATGGCTTATTGATGACTCTTATTTTAATTATGTTTTTAGCGATGATAAGTTACAATATAATAGCTGGAGATACTTTGAGCAAAGTTTTTCAAAGAATCCCAGGAGGTAAGTCAAAATAAAAATTGTGAGGATTTAAATATATTTATTTATATAGTTATTTATAGTTAACATGGTTCATAATAATTTATAAATAAAAAATTTGAAAGTGAAATTATTGGATTACTTCAGGTATCTCACAATTTCCGTGATCCATTTTGATTTTAAAGTTCTGATCTGCTTTTATACATAATTTAGTTCTTATTTAGCTGTTTGAAAAAATGTTTTTACTATTTATATACTTAGAATACTTTATCTTTTAAATTTTTTATGCTTCATATCACCAGCTCTCTGGGCTAATATTTTTTCATGTACTATTTAAACTATGTGATTTCTTAAATAAGCAAGCAGACTATTTTACCCATTATTTGTATTAAGGTATAATTTAATAGAGTAAAATTAACCCTTTAAAATCTATATTCTGTGGCCAGGCATGGTGGCTCACGCCTATAATCCCAGCACTCTGGGAGGCAGAAGAGGGTGGATTGCTTGAGCTCAGGAGTTCAAGACCTGCCTGGGCAACATAGTGAAACCTCATCTGTACAAAAAGTACAAACATTAGCAGGACATGGTACCTGCACCTGTGGTTCCAGCTACTTCGGAGGCTGAGGTGGGAGGATCACTTGAGCCCAGGAGGTGGAGGCTGCAGAGAGCTGTGATCATGCCAATGCCCTGCAGGTTGGGCAACAGAGTGAGACCCTGTCTCAAACAAACAAACAAACAAACAAAACCAAAAACTTATGTTCTGTGAGTTTTGACAAAGGCATATAGTCACATAACCACGTCTGCAATCAAAATACAGAACAACAAGCCAGGCACAGTAGCGTGCATCTGTAGTCCCAGCTACTCCAGACACTGAAGCAGAAGGATTGCTTGAGCCCAGGAGTGTGAGCCACATACAGAGTCTGTCTCTAAAAATAATAAAAATAATGCAGAACAATTCCATCACTCCCTCCAGTTTCCCCCATTTCTCTTTGTTGTCAAAGCCTAATCTCCAGCTCCCCCTGCCAACCTCCTGATGAGATTTCTCTCCCTATAGTTTTGCTTTCTTCAGAATGCCAGGTAAACGACATCATACCATATGTAGCTTTTTTGAGTCTGGCTTCTTTTATTTAGAAAGATGTATTTGAGATTCAGCTGTGTCTTTAGATATATCAGTAGTTTGCTCTTTTTAACAAATTATTTCTGAGAAGCATTTCATTTTATGGATGTACAATAGTATATCTATCACCCAGTTGAGGGACATTTGTGTTGTTTCCAGTTTAGGGTAATTGCAAAAAAGCCAGTGTGAACATTCTCAAGTAGACCTTTTCAACATATTGCTACAACTCCACTCCCTGTTCAACTTTTCACTATGTCATAGTTTTTAGAATAATTCAGAGATCATGTGTCTTTTTGCTTTGAAGAGCTTCTCATCCAAGCTACATAATCCCTCTTTCATTGTGACACTCTCTCTAGTTGCTATTACAGTTGAGGAGATTGATGCAAAAACACCTTTCCTCTTAGTGCTTGAATCACTCACTTTAGAGACATACAAAACAAAACGAAACAAAATCTAGAGCCAGAAAGTACACCTATTCCTCACACATGGTTTAGTGGAACTTGAGATCATGGAGACATAGCTGTCAAATCACAGACTCACTAATGACCAGCTGTGTGACCTTGAGAAGGTTAGTTGTCCTCTCCGAGTTCCAGTTTCCTCATCTCTAAATTATGAATCAGAATATCATCTGCTTCATAGAATAGTCGTGTGAAGCAAAAGAGGTGAGACAGGTAGTTCCTAGCACACAGTAGACTTACCCAGTACTGTTAGTCATGATTTTTGTTACCCTGAACTGTCTGTAGCTTCTGTGCCAGCCCCCAAACTCCAAAGCATGAATGCATAAGCTGAGGCCACATAAGTGGGTAGAATGCTAAGGGAAAGTGGTCAGAATATAATACAAGACATATGATATAATCTAAATTATGTAAATTTTCTATTTGCATATACAAGTAAGAAAAAATAAGAAAGAAATACTTTTATGTATAAACTGTGGTTATCTTTTAATCATGAGATCCATGGGATTTTTGTGGCGGTTTTTCTGTGTTATTTTTCAAGGTTTTTCTTAAGGGTTTTTCTTTTCTCTGTTTTTTGTTTTTGTTTCTGTTTTTGTTTTTTTTGAGACAGGGTCTCACTATGTCACCCAGGCTAGAGTGCAATGGCATAATTGGCTCACTGTAGTCTTGACCTCCCGGGTTCAGGTGATCCTTCCACCTCAGCCTCCCAAGTAGCTGGGATTACAGGTGCACACCACCATGCCCGGTTTTGTAGAGATGGGGTTTTGCTATGTTGCCCAGGCTTGTCTCGAACTCCTGAGCTCAAACGATCTACCCACCTCACCCTCCCAAAGTGTTGGGATTATAGGCATAAGCCATCTCACCTGACCTCTAAAGTTTTTCAAAAGAGAATTACTAATTTAAAAATATATTTTATTACTGTATTTTCCTATTCAAAAAGTAGCACCGATTTATTGGAAAAATATTAGAAAACACAGACAAGCAAAATGGAGAAAATAGAAAAGACTAATAATCTCTTCCTCTTGGGACAACCAGGTGGTAACCATCCTTTCAACCCCCTCCTGATTTTCCTCTTCCTTCCATCCTTCCTTTTATCTTTTAATGTATACTTTCAGAGTTTTAAGAATACATGTAATTTCAGATATTCGTAAGAATAATATAACATCATACATCTTGTTCTGTAACACGCTTCTTTCTCTTAGTAATATTTTAAGAACATATTCTCATATCAAAACATAAATATATAAATGCTGTAATGCAAGTTCAGTATTCTGTACAGTACCTACTGTACAGTTAGAGTGGCCATAATTAATTTACCTTCCCTTGATAGAAAAATTTTGATTGTTAATTTTTATTGATTTTTAATTATACAAGCAATGTATGTATAACACTCTTCATAAAAACAAAACATTATAGAACAGGCTAATGGTCCCTTGAAGCCCTCTTCCAGGTTATCAATTTTGTAATAATCAAAAATGATTTTTAAAAATGTAGGTCATGTGGCAAGGAACACAACCTTATTCTTACAGCATCTTCACCCTTTTGGGGTGTGACAGTTTATAATGTTCACTCTGTTTGTATATCTTGTGAGGCATAATATTATGCCAGAGTATTTTTAGAAGCAGATACTATAAAATTCTTATCAAAGTTCTACTTTTATTCTGAAATACATCACTAATAAATTGGCAAGTAGGCAATTGCTTATACTTTTCTCTGGTAGCCAAAACCTTAGCTCTTGATATAAGTCAAAGTAACAAGAAATGTTGGCAAAAAAATAGTATGTTTACATGCTTTTAAATTTTTACAAAAATTTTATTTTCAAAAATTTCAATTTTCACCTTTCTTTACTGTTGTTTAAACATTTAAAATGCATACTTGGTTGCATTTTTGATAGGTCCGTTTCGGTAATAGATCTCATCATTAGATCATTAGTGAAAAACATCCTTTATGCAAATGGGATCCTCAGTTATTAGGCTCCTACCTGTTGATCACAGCAGTCTGTGTCAGCGTTTATCTAGCCCTTCACTTTGCCAGTGAAGCAAAAGGTGTAAAGAGTAAATAGAAATAGATACACAAATAATTTGGTTCAAATTATGTTCACAAATTTGTAAATAGTGAGTTCAGGGATTTTGGAATTGATTTTCCTGTTTTGTTTCAATTCTTAATTTTATAATGACTAGTTATGGCTGAGTTCAAGTATTCCATTAATATTAATAATTAAATATTCCATTCCATATATATAATATATATGTACACACATACACGTATATACACATCATATACATATATATACACTATACATATAGAAAATACTAATAATCTATTAACCATATATATAATACATATATGTGGTAAAAACCTATGTCATTTTGAAATTTCTTTCTTGAAACTTTCTTGTAAGTTTATTAGCCATCTAAGAAAATTAGTGTCATTGTTTAGGATAACAGCTTTTATTTTCTTACCACAGTCATTCACTTATTTAAGACTGGATCTCTGTAGACTTTAGACTATGCAGAAATTGATGCACAATGACTTGGTACCACTGAAGACATTGCAACAATATAATGACATGATCTCTGAGTGAAATTTAATATGAGCTCAAAATTTAAACAGTAGTGTCTT